ACAAGCAGTAGGGACAGTATTGAGCCTCAATATAAGTCGTGGGACAGTACTGCGCATCAATACATGCTGTGGGACAGTATTGCGCATCGATATAAGCTGTAAGATACTACAGCGCATAAATATAATTTGTGGGACATTACAGCGCATCATTATAATCTGTGAGACAGTGTTTCGCGTCAATACAAGTCGTGGGACAGAACTGCGCATCAATATAAGTCGTGGGACAGTACTGCGCATCAATATAAGTCGTGGGACAATACTGTGTATCAATATAAGTCGTGAAAATCTACTGCAGCTTTAATACAAGTTATAAAACTCTACTGCGCATCAATTAAATTTGTACAACTTTACTGCGCACGAATAAAAAGTACAAAAATCTACTGCGCACTCGAAGAATCAGAAAAACTTTACTGTGCATCAGTCGAAAACCTCACAAACCAACTGCGCATTGATTAAAGTTAGAAACTTTCATTTTCTCAAGTGTACAACCCTAACAATCCACTTTGCGCATAAATAAAAAGTTTATAAACCTTTTGCGCATCATTATGGCACAAAAAACACTATTGCGCATCTGTAGAATTCTTCTGCGTACATAAACGAACTATAGAAACCTATTGCGCATGAAAAAAAGTTCGAGAAACTTTACTGCGCATATAAAAAGCCCACATGCGCGATAGATCTGCGCACAAGCGAAATTAAGCATTTACAGCTGCGCAGTAATTTTCTATCACATATAAAGCTGCGCACAAAATCTCAAACCATTCTAACACTCACTTTATCCCATTTTTCACAAAACTTGACACTTTTAAAACTTACCTAAAGGAAATAATCCTAAAAAACAAAAAAATTCTGCGATCTAATCTGTACTTAAAAGTCGGTTTTTTTATTTTGTTTAAAAATATCTGTTTACAAAATATTTTTTAAACTATAATATTGTCGAGGGGTTAAAAATATTTTTTTTTTGAGGGGGAGGTTAAAAATATATTTTTTTTCTCCCCCCGAAAAAATTGCATTTATGAATGATATCTCGGATATAAAGAAGGCGTGTACGGCACGCCGATGAATTTCACTGGTGCATTATCGTGATTACTGGACACTTAACTGGTCTTTGAGCATCACTTAAAATACAGGATTTTTGCCCCCGGCATTTTTAACCTCTATATTGAACGCTATATATATTTTCAGCCCTCAATCATTCATTCGGGATTTATAATTATTTAAGATTTCTCCCAATAGGGGTTATACTTATATTTCCCCCCCATTTATATACCGAATGTAATTATCCCTTCGCGAATATAATTTTACGATTAATGCATATACGCCCCCGGATTATTCGCTACTTTTCGTCAAGGAGAGAAAAAAAAGAGAGAGAGAGAGAGAGAGACAAATCGAGATTCAGATTAACCCCAGATTATTTGCTACTTTTCGTTTCTAATGCAATGCCTGCGATTTGACAGTTGACAGCTGTCAAACAAAGTGTCAATTTTCATTGGAAGTAATTTATTTTTTATAAAAATGACAGCAAAAGGGTTTTTTGGGGGTCGCTGATAACAAATTTGATGCAAAATTGATAATTTGACAGTTGACAGCTGTCAAACCAACTGTCAACTTTTATGAGGATTTATTTTTGATAAAAGTTAAAAAAATAAATTTAAATTTTTAAATAAAAGGGTTTTCGGGGTCGTTGATTACGAATTTAGTGTTATAAACACAATTTAACAGTTGACAGCTGTCAAAATATTTGTCAACTTTTATAAGAAGTGATTTTGATTTTGATAAAACAACTGTCAACTTTTATGAGTATTTATTTTTGATAAAAGTGTCCATAAAAGGGTTTTCGGGGTGTTGATTTTGAATTTAGTGTCATAAACACAATTTGACAATGGACAGCTATCAACTGTCAAATTGTGTTTATAATTAACTAAATTCGTAATCAGCGACCCCATAATTCCTTTCATGGTCATTTTAATAAAAAATAAATCACTTCTTATAAAAGTTGACAGTTATTTTGACAGCTGTCAACTGTCAAATTGGGTTTATAACACTAAATTCGTAATCTGCGACCCCGAAAACCATTTTATGGTTTAAAAGATTTTAAAGTAAATCTTTATAAAAGTTGACAGTTGGTTTGACAGCTGTCAACTGTCAAATTGTCAATTGTACATCAAATTCGAAATCAGAAACTGTAAAAAACTCTTTTTCGACAACTTATATCAACAAAATCACTTTTTTAAAAGTTGACAGTTGCTTTGACAGCTGTCAACTGTCAAATTGTCAATTGTACACCAAATTCGAAACCAAAAACTGTAAAAAAAACTCTTTTTCGAACACTTATATAAACAAAATCACTTTTATAAAAGTTGACAGTTGCTTTGACAGCTGTCAACTGTCAAATTGTCAATTTGAGTTCAAAATCGAGATTTAGATTAACAGTAGAGTCGATTGCTTTCTTATTTTTATGGCAGCACCTGGTAACCCGTGTCTACTTCTTGTCTATATATGTAGGTGAAAATGGTAAAAGGTTTTCTCAAAGCCATACGTGAGAGTGACACCCACATACATTATATGTTGGTACGTATATATTTAATACACAGCATTGCCCCGCGACGTATATATGCAAAAAGGCAAGGCCGTTCGCACAGGCTTTAAAAGTTCACCTCATTATTGCGAAACCAATCGTCTTGTGCAACAATAAACGACTTGGTATATAATAATGAGGATAGCAATAAATTCGTCTCACAATGGAAAAAAGGGGTATATTTTAGAACTAGATTATTCTCCGCAATTCACCATATGCATCATTTTTTAATTATCCATTTTCAATTTAGAAATTTTTTTTGTTCTTTTTTTAAAAATGATTTTGTTCATTTTAAAAAAAAGAACAATTTTGTAAATTGTCTAGATTAAAAAAGAAAGAAGGGACTGATGTAATTAATATTATTTTTAATCCGCACATGGATGGAGGGAAGAAAAAAGAAATATTAACCTCCAAGTTCTGCACTGTTGACCTCCAGACGGAATATGGGCATGTTGCTAATTTTAATTCATAATTAAAGTTAATTAGCGTCTAGACTCGGTCAATTAGAAAAAGTTGGATTTTGTGCCGAGGTATAACTGTTTCGTGATGGTGTTTTAACTTATCCGTTTTTGGTTCTTATTTGTATTGTTGATTAAAATTTTACCCGGGATTAGTAATTTTATTCTATTATCTACGAGGAAGGTTTTTTTTCTCCTTAGCGCAAAGAAAATGCTGTGACATACCTTTATACACCTGGAGAAATTCATTGCGCATAGATAGAAGCTTTCTGTTAGTACTGCGCAGGACATGCGCGATATATCTGCGCAGTAGAACGTTGTAGAATTTTTTCCTACTTAAAAACCGTCAAAATACTCTACCGGGTTTATACAATGTATAAATGTGATTTGCGCACATGTAGAAGCTGTTACTTAGTACTGCGCATCATGTGCGCGATAGATCTGCGCAGAAGTAACATAAGTATTTCCAGATATGTATAATAGAATTTTTATCCACTTCAAGAATAATCAAAATTATCTTTTTTTGTTTCTAAGATATTATATTTTTTTATCACTAGACACTATCAATCGATATTACGCATAATGTGCGCAATAGATCAGCGCAGTAGAACATTGTAAAATTTTTTCCCTACTTAAAAACAGTTCTAAATAATATTCTACTTGGTTTGTAAATTGTATAAATTTCATTAGCGCACATGTAAAAGTTGCTATTTAGTACTGCGCATGATGTGCGCGATAGATCTGCGCAGAAGTAGCATTAATTCTATTTATAGTAAATTTAGCTCTTTAAAACTTGAAATTAACACCTTAATGCTCTAGACACTATTTTCGAATTCATGAAAGTTAATTGCGCGCAAAATTTACAAAATAGTACTACTATGAAGCTATATGCGCAATAGATCTGCGCAGAAGTAGCATAAGCGTTGAATACGCCTATCTATGCAGTAGCATTTTATACGATTTTTACTTGCGTAAAAAACTTCATACTTAAGTATATGAACGTAATACAAACAACAGTAAAAAAATTTTGCTTAAATAGAAATTGTCAATTAGTACGGCGCATAATATGCGCCATAGATCTACGCAGTAGCTATTTCTAGACTTGTTAGGCCTCTCAGAAACATTAAAGGAAACTACCACACTTGTAGAGTAAGATAAATTGTAAACTTGTAAAATTGATAAACACTTGTACAGTAGATAAATGTCATTTGCGCACATGTAGAAGTTGTTATTTAGTACTGCGCACGACATGCGCGATATATCTGCGCAGAAGTAGCATAAGCGTAAATCTTATGAATAAGCGCATATATACGCTTTAGAATTTTGTACCACTTTTACCTGCTTAAGTACTAATGAAATACAAACAATGGTAGAAAAATTTTGCTTAAATAGAGATTATCAATTATTGTAGCGCTTAATATGCGCAATAGATCAACTTAGGGGAAATTTATAGAATTTTTCGCCTCTGGAACAAAGAAACACTCCAAGAGGCTTGTAGAGTTGATAAATGTCATTTGCGCACATTTAGAAGTTGCTATTTAGTTCTGCGCACCACCTGCGCGATAGATCTGCGCAGAAGTAGCCAAAGCGTTCACAGCTGCGCAGTAGCACTGCGTTCAATTTAAACCTGCGCAATAAACTTCTACACGTCACCATTAGCTATTACAACACAAATTTTAGTAACATTTATGTAAAATCGCTCATTTTTCGTAATTTATAAATTTTTAAAAAAATCCTTCTTCCTTTTTTCGGGGGGCAAAATTCGACATTTACTCCTTAAGCTTCTTTTTAAAAGTAGATGCTTTATCACCACAGTAAAGTAAGCAAAATTCATCATGAATTCACATATTTCATGTTTTTTCGAATTTTATTTATAGTTTATTGTCATTTTCATTGTTGTTGTTATTGTTGTTGTTTTATTTTACGTTGCTGGTCCCTATCCTCGTCCTTTCTTTCTGTTACAGATCCAGCTGGGAATTTAGAAGGGGAAAACAAAAAATGTCGAGCAGAACAAGTTCGAAAGATGTTCCGCTGATGGTTGTTGTATCTTCTTCGACAGAAGAAACGGAAATTATTTATTAGGAAATTTATCAGGAAAAGAAGAAGAAAAATTAAGAAATTAAGAAGATTTTTTTTTTGAAGAGTGGAACGAGGGAAGATAAAAAAAATGTTGGGTGTTAGTCAGCCTGGTAATCCGCCATCGAGCCTCAGGCATTCGGCGAGTTTTTCCTGTTTACAGAGAGGTTCGAGCGAAAGTCATCATCATCATCATCGTAATCGAACATCAACATTGCCACAGCAGCCTTTACAGTTAAGTACACATCAGTACGGTGGTCTCAGTTCACTTCCACATCATCAGACGCAAATTAATAATTATTCCAACGACTCACGTAATAGAGATGTGACTCTCGATCATCCTTACATTGATTCCAATGATTATGGCTTCGTGAGAATTAGACCTAGATTGCATAGTACAAATGCAATTCTCCTACACGAAGACGATCATCGACAAGTCTCACCAACCGATTTGGACAAAAATCTCGACTATTATCCAAAGGATGAAAAAAATCGGGAGAAAAATCATCAAAATCCGCTAAAAGGTGCTTTGGTTCTGTTCACAGCCTCCACGTCGTCCTGGTGGAAGACAAAACAACGTGATGAACAACAACAACAACAACAACCCAGTATCACCTCCTCGTCATCAGAGAGAAAATGGTCAAATAATAAGGAACGTAAATGGTCAATGAATTCACCAGACGCAAAATGGAACAATGGCTCTTGCTCGGGTCAAGATCGTAAATGGCGATCACTTGGCGCACTTTTACGAACACCAGTTGCCAATAATGATTCCCAATCGCGATCCTTCTTCTATCACAATGCCAGTGCGTCAATGATTGAGAATGGCGAAAATTCGGAAAATTCACGAAATAATAATAATAATAACAACCAAACTTGTTATTCGGCGAGAGTTGTTTCAAAAACGACGCAATATCGTGAAAAGGAATTTTCCCTATCGAATCGAAGACTGAAAGTTGGTCGACGATTATTTCAGGAGGAGAAACGTGAAAACACTGCCGCCACTGATGAAGACTGGATGATGCCAACGACGCGTAATCAAGAATCTTCGGAGAATGTGATGACAAAAAATTCCGAGGAGAATCGAACGACAAGATCAAATAGAGCGCAAAGTTTTTATCTTTTAGATGATTTTTTAAGACCACAACCAGCGCAAGCGGCATTTATGAAATGTCAATCGTCATCTTCGGGAACGTCGTATTCGCGTTCGGGAAATAATGATCAGAGATCAAGTGATAATAGTAGGCAAATAGTGACGACGACAACGACGACAACGACGACGGGTCATAATTCGAGTCAGAGGAATGTGACGAATATAACACCGCCGAGGAGGCATAATTCGAGTTCGGATAGTCTTGAGGTCGCCACTAGTCCTCTACCGCCGCCAGTGCCGCCACCACCGCCGCCGCAACTCACCAGCAGTCGCGATAGGGAACGTGATAAGGAGAAACATGAGAGTTTGAGGGAAAAGGATGTTTGTCATTGCAGAAGATGTTGGGCTATTCTTCAGCAGAAATGGTATCATGAGGAGGTAAGTGATGACAGTTGTTTTTTTTTTAAATTTGTAACGTTGAAAGCTTTCATAATGCTTGCAGGACAATAGAATTTAATGACAAATTTACTAGCAATTGAATATATGATTTATATTTTATGAGACGGTGAACTGTAGGTTCAAAGTAACTGTACCTTTAGATACTTTAGATAGCACGTAATTTTGTTGCAAAAGCTTTCCTGCAATTTTGCAGCAAGTTTCCATGGCAATATTGTTGCAAGCTTTACGGCAATTTTGCAACAAGCTTTAGAAATAATTTGCTGTAAATTTCCACGGCAATATTGTTGCAAGCTTTCTTGGCAATTTTGCTTCAAATTTTCACGGCAATTTACTGCAAGATTTTAGGGCAAGTTTTCGTCAAGGTTGCTGCAAGCTTTTTTGACAATTTTGCCTATAAATTTCATGTCGATTTTGCTGCAAATTTCCACGGCAATATTGCAAGTTTTACGGCAATTTTTGAACTAAGCCTTACGACAATTTTACTGCAAATTTCCAAGGCAATATTGTTGCAAGCTTTACGGCAATTTTGCTTCAAGCTTTTCACGGCAATTTGCGGTAAAATCTTACGGAAATTTTTCATCAAGCTTGCTGCAAGCTTTCCTGTCAATTTTGCCGATAAATTTCACTGCTATTTTGCTACAAATTTCCACGGCAATATTAATAGAAGCTTTACGGCAATTTTGTAGCAAGCTTTACAAATATTTTGCTGTAAATTTCCACGGCAATATTGTTGCAAGCTTTGTTGGCAATTTTGCTTCAAATTTTCACGCCAATTTACTGCAAAATTTTAGGGCAAGTTTTCGTCAAGGTTGCTGCAAGCTTTCCTGACAATTTTGCCGATAAATTTAACGTCAATTTTGATGCAAATTTCCACGGCAATATTGCAAAGCTTTACGGCAATTTTTAGACTAAGCCTTACGACAATTTTGCCGCAAATTTTCAAGGCAATATTGTTGCAAGCTTTACGGCAATTTTGCTTCAAGCTTTCACGGCAATTTGCGACAAAATCTTATGAAAATGTTTCGTCAAGTTTATTGCAAGCTTTCCTGTCAATTTTGCCGATAAATTTCACTGCTATTTTGCTGCAAATTTCCACGGCAATATTGTTACAAGCTTTTTTTTTTAGCAATTTTGCCGATAAATTTCACTGCAATTTTGCTATAAACTTTCAGGGAAATTTGCGACAAGTTTTCACGACAATTTTTCGTTAAACTTGCTGCAAGCTTTCGTGGCAATTTTCCTGCAGATTTTCACGGCAATTTTTCAGCAAATGTTAACGCGGTAAATTTTGTGGCAAGCTTAAAATGTCCCCCCCCCTCCCATAGGAAGCTTGCCGTGTAAACTTGCCGCAATATTCCCCAGAAAGTTTGTTGAAAATAATTTTCAGAATTTCCATGCAGATTAGGGAATTCAGGGAAAAGTCAGGCAAACTTGAATTGGTCAGGGGAATCAGGGAAAAGTGTCAATAAATTATTTATTTGCATTTTATTTGTATTTAAATAATTGAATTCTCGTAGAATTTTCTAATAAAAATTTATTTAAAAATGAATTTCAGTTTAAAAATCTGTTCAAGATTTTAATTTTCTTTATAAATTGCAAAATTCTTCGTTGAAATTTAATTATTTTCAAAAAATTGTAATATAAATCTCCGCAAAATTTTAATTATTTTCAAAAAATTTTCTTAATTCAATGATTTTCGAAATCTATGTATTATTTTAATAAAATTTCCCAAAAGAATTTAATTGTTTAAACAAGATTTTAATAAAATTCTACGTAAATATTCAATTATTTTCATTAATAAAAAAAATTTCACCTAAAATTCAATTATTTAAAGAAGAATTTTCAGACATTTTTTTTAAATTAATTGTTTAATAAAATTTAATAAAATTCTTCGCAATAATTCAATTATAATAATTCAATTAATTTATTCAATTATTTAATCATAAGTATTAAAATTCTTTTCAGGGATTCAATTATTTTCGTAAATGATAAAATTTTTTTTAGGAATTCAATTATTTTTAAATAAATAATAAAATTCATCGTAGGATTTCAATTATTTTTAATACAATTTTACAGGAATTACTCAAAAAATGTAATTATTCTTAAAATTTGTATTAAAATTCGTCTAAAGTATTCAATTATTTAAAATTTTGTTCATAATATCTATTTTAATAAAATTTCTCAAAAGATTTTCAATTATTTAAAAACAAATTTATAAAATTTAACGGTAAAATTCAATTAATATTCATGAATACTAAATAAAATTTTTACAGGAATTCAATTATTTGAAATATAATTTTCAAAAAAATTTTTCGTATAAAAACAATTTAAAATATTTTAAAAAATTCTTTGAAAGAAATTAATTATTTTCTAAAATTTTAATAACATTTGATTATAAGAATTAAATAATTATTTCCATGAATAATAAAATTCATCGCAAGAATTCAATTTTTTAGTATAATTTTAACTAAATTATTCAAAATAATTGAATTATTTTTTTAATTTTGAAAATTTTTAAATTTAATCGAATTTTTAAGGAATTGTAACTAAAAGTTTGGAAAATAATTGAATTTCATATAAATTTAGAATTAAATTTATTACGAAGATAAGAGAAAAAAAAAGTGGAGGCAATGACCCAAAACATTATCCCGGGGCTCAAAGTTGCTTAAAAACGTCAGGATTTTGAAAAAAAGTGGGGGTAAAGAACCAAAGAAATTTTTTTTGCTATTTTTGATATCGTAGTGCTTTTCAATATATTTTTGCCAGCTGAATACGATCTCGAGTCTCAAAATCGACTAGCATTTAAGGATTTTGAAAAAAGTGGGGGGTAAAAACCAAAAAAGAATTTATTTTTCATACTGTTGATATTGTAGTGGTTTTCAATGTATTTCTGTTCACTGAATACGATCCCAGATATAAAAATTGTTCAGCACGTCAGGATTTTGTGAAAAATGGGGGTAATGACCAAAAAAAAATTTTTTTTCTCTTATTTTCGATATCGTAGTGGTTTTTAATATATTTTTGCCAGCTGAATGCGATGCCGAGTCTCAAAATTGACTAGCATGTCAGGAATTTGAAAAAGTGGGGGTAAAAACCCCCGAAAAATTTTTTTTTTTAAATTTTTTATATTGTAGTTGGTTTTCGAAGTATTTTTGAATGCGGAATACGATTCCAGGTCCCAAAATTGACTAGCACGTCAGGATTTTATAAAAAGTGGGGGTGAAGATCCCAAAAAACACGTTATTTTAAATTTTACGCCTATATTCACCTTTTAAAAAAGTACTTATTATATTATTTACCTTCTTCTATATTTTAAAAATTAAAATGCAAATTTGTTTTAAGAAATCTTTTTTTTTTCCTTTAATTCGCCCACATATACAGAAAAAAAGCAAAGGAGACTCAATTTTTTTTCTTTTACATGTCAATCACATATAAATTATTTCGAAATTGAACAATTACACGCAAACTTTGTTATAAAGTGAATTGAGTTGCGGAAATTAATAATGCAACTTCTCTCTCTTGTATAGAGTTAAAAAAAAAAAGTTTTCATTCTCCGGATACCACACGATTTATTCAGAACTATCAAATGCCGCCTTCCCTCACAGACAATGTCGTGCTAGGAAATAATTCGATTCGTTCTTTACGATCGTTGTTACTGTCGGCGACATTGCCGGCATAACGGGTTTTAGTAGATTCACAGAAAGTACAAACAGTCGAGTTGTCGGAAGTACGCTCAAAAATATCCGAATATTTATGAAACGCGACAAGACACTTTTTTTTTATTTTTCTGCTATTTTTTCTTCTTCTTTTTTTTTCTATTTGTAGAGAAAGAGAGAGAGAGAGACCCTCCTACCTAAACCCTTTCGAGGATTTTAACATTTCCGGTTTTAACCGTAATTTGCATATTCATCAACATAGCATTTATATATATATATATATATATATTATCGCATTTATATCATTTAAATTATATTTTATAATCTATTCTTTTCTGAATTTTAGAGAATGTTAATTTATCTAAATTGAATACTATTTCTTTTTAAATTCAAAGACAATTCTCATAATTCTTAGATCTCGTTTTTAAATTCCACTTTTTTTTAAAGTATTTTTTCTTTTTTTTTATAATTATCGTATTTTTTAAGATTTCGATCAGAATTAGTTTTTTTTTTATTTTTCGCACGAAAAAAAATAGTTTTACTAAAAATAAATTTTTTCCAAAAATTAATTATTCACAGAAGTGAATACATATTTTTTATCAGTCCACTAGACATATAAACTGATATTCTGCGCAGAAACAACATTAAAAATTTCATTTTTTTATTTAAAAAGTCTAAAAATATGATTGCGCATCTATAGAATATAATAATCGCTAGTGCGCATGTATAAATCGATTTTTGTAGTTCTGCGCAGATCGATTGCGCATGTGGTCTATTTGTAGTTAATTAACCTCAAGAGATAGATAATTACAAAATTTACGCATTATAGAATGTTTTTTTCAGTCCACTGGAATTATAAAGTAATATTTTAAAAAAATTTGTCCATATACGCCGTAGATCTGTGCATTAAAAATTAATTTTTTTATTTAAAAAGTCAAAAAACATGATTGCGCATCTATAAAATATAATAATCGCTAGTGCGCATATATAACATCATTTTAGCATATATAAATCAATTTTACAGTTTTGCGCAGATCTATCGCGCATGTTTGTATATTTCAATTCATTTTGCCGTAATATCTAAAAAAAAAAATAACGGAAATTGGTTTATTTTTCCTTTTTTTTGCAGATACAACTTTAAACAGTGATTGCGAATGTATTACAAATTTAAAATAGTTTTGCGCAGATCTATCACGCATGTTTGTAGTATTTTAACACTTTTGACATAATAACCAAGAATTTAATACAATTATTATCGGAATTTGCAAATATTTTACCATTTTTCACCGCTAGTTCTTTTAGAACATTATTATTGTTACATAA